GGCGACCCCTTCACCTTCTTCGCGACGTACCGCCCGTTGTTCATCAAGAAGATGTTGCTCAAAGCGAGGTCCTTGTACAGCTTCGATTTCGACTCCAGATTGGAGTGCAGCAAGTCCATCGCCCCCACTAGTTGAGCTGCGAACGGATTGTAATTTCCGTTGCCGCCATTGTTGCCGCGGTTGTCGCCCCTGCCGCCCCCGCCGCTTCCCCGTGAATTGTCGCCGTCCCCGTCGGTGGACGATGGCTTCTCGGAATGTCTGTGCTCCTTGAAGACCTGCTCCAGCGTGTTCTTGTACTCGCAGGCGTACTTGAGGTAGTTCGTCACGTAGCGGGTGAGCGGGTGGACTGCGCCGCCGGGCACAGGGGTCTTACTGCTGTCGGCTTTGATGGAGCTCTCCAGTTCGCAGAAGATTGCGACGGCTGCCTCTCCGAGACGAAACCGTACCGAGGATATCTCCGTCTTGGGATCCACAAGGATGGAGGATTCTTCCTGGTCGGCTTCGTCCGGGAGCAGGGCGTCGACGATCGGCATCACGTCGCGCATGGCCTCGTAGATGTCGAGCACCTTGAACAGCTTCTCGGCGGAGCGTTTGGTCATCGTGACGGCCTCCGCGAAGGTGAGGAGCTGGATGATGGCGCAGTGGGCTAAGCTGCGAAAGAGGCGGTCGGAGATGGCGCGGTGGCTGGCGAAAACAGCCTCGCAGAGCTCGCGCTCGGCGGAGATGGAGGCCGTGATGGTGTGCCGAAAGGCCTTGATCCACGTCGCGATCTCGGACTCCAGGGACTCCCATGCCATCTTCAGCACGTCCTCGATGCTGACCTTCTCGAAACCGAGGCTCGGCAGTCCTGCCTCGAAGGCATTGCGCCGGGCGACGGCGAACACCTGGCAGCACTCGGCATCATACCCGGCGGAGATCATGGCGTCGGCGATCTTGTGCAGCCTCTCGACGGCCTCCGGTGGATACGCGGGGGAAGGCACGCAGGAACTTGGTTCCGACGAGGGTGGCACGTGGCGATCGAACTCGTAGAGGCGGCTGAACGAGGGCTGCGGCTTGGTCTTGGAGCTGCTGCTGACGGCCTCCTGCTTTGTTCTAGCGTCCTGAAGCAACGAGTGGAACTCATCTTCGAGGAAGCACATGGCCTGGTGGAGGACGGTGCCGGATCGGTTCATCGCCTGCTGGTACTTGGGCTCCGACGAGAACTTCCTCAACCCCGTCGTCAGCTTCGAGACCCTGTCGATCGCATCGAGAAGCGACGACTCGGCACCACCGGAGGGCCACTTCTCGTCGCCTGTTTCGTACGTGGCCATCTCCTCCTCCACCAAAACCACAAACTTCTCGACGGTAGATTCAGGGATCTCCGGTGGCTCGTGCCTCCCATCTCGACCATCTCCGACGGCGAGAAGGACGGCGAGGAAGTTATCGATGTCTCCGGAGACGGTAATCAAATTGGCTTCCGGCTCCTCACCATTGCTTGCACCCTCCCCCATCTTTCCGGCCCTCTCCTCGGCCTCCTCCTCCTCCTCCTCCTCCTCTTCCTGAATGGTCTCTTTGTTGCGTCTCTCCTTCCTCTCGTGGCCTTGTTCCAACTTGACGGTGCCCAAGGAGAAGTTGCGGTCGATCTCCCGGCGCTTCTCGTCGCGGCCGGAGGAGAAGCTGCTGGATTTCCTAGGAGCAAGTGGTTGATTGCACTCCATCGACGTCCTTCTCCCTTCTCTGACGTGTTCTTGCGTTCAGCAAAAGAAGCCAACCAAGGGTGGCAAAGAGATGAAACCAAGGAGAGGAGCGCGAGGCAAAGGGGTGGCGGAAACTGAGGAGGAGGGATCACCATTTGAAATGGTCATCGCTTTTAGAGAGAGAGAGAGATGCTCTATTGGGTGATCGGACTAAGTCAATTGGGCAATGGTTGACTCCACACGTACAGATGTTGGAGCCACGTAAACAGTTAGTAGAGGCCACTAAATAATTAATTTCGACTATTATTTAGTGACATAAAAGCGTTATTTTATGTCGACGTGAGGAGCGGCTCGAGACACCGAGGAATACAATTCCGGTCCCACTTTGACTTCACTTGGAGACATGCAATTCACAACGCCTTTTGTGAGTACGCATTAATATAGGTTCATATGTTTAATTTTGAACCACTAACAATGATCTAATTTGTCATCTAAAGATATATTATATCATTAACTTGTTACTATCTGATGAGGATAATAATGGTGACAAGACTCGGGCTGACGTCAACTGCCCCAGATGACGCCTCACGCCTCGATCGACCCGACAGCACCTGGTCAAACGGACCAGAACGCCGGCCGAGGCGCATTAACGACCTGCTCAGGCCCAATCCTTCACGCCACGCCAACACCGTTGTCAGACGTGGCCGGGAGTACGATCATGCTCCTTGCAAAACAGGCATAACAAACACAGCAAGTCACCCTATAAAAACCCTGCTCCCGAGAGGAGCAAAATGGGGGGAGGAAATACATACAAAAAAGACCTCTTCACTTCATCTGACTTGATCATCGGAGGGGTTGGGCCGAGCTTCGACCCGACTTGTGTGCAGGTACGAAGACGGAGCTACTTCCCCACCAACGCTGAGGAGAGGGACCTTTCCATACGGGACGTCCCGACGAGCCCCGACGTGATCCGATCCGCACGACTGCCCACATCAGCAACCCCGAGAGGCCTTGAGCAAGATCCCCGCCATTCGGACCCGAAACAAGCCGTGTCGGCCCCAAGGCCATGGCATAAAGTTGTTGTCACCAACATTTTTGGCGCTAGAAGGAGGGCCCGAATGTCAAGGGATCGCCCGATCGACTTAGACGAGCTCACGGCTGAGGGGTCACACCCGATCGGAGCTCCGGGGGAACACCCCTCGCATGAAGAACCTCAAGCTGAGCACCCCGTCGCGACCTCAGAGCGCCATTGGTGGTTATTCAACAACCCGGGCTGGTCGCCGCCCGAAGGAGCCCCAGCTGACCCGTCGCCCGTGTCATCTGAGGCCTTTCAGGACCTTGCACATCAAGTCTGAGCTCTGACGGGTATGGTGCAAACCATTATCCCGCTCGTTTCTCATCCGGTGCATCCACCTGCGATCCAACCGCTGCGGCAACAGGAGTCGCCCATTCGGGCCCACACACTACGTCCGGAGCTCCCCACTTCGCCTCGGGTCCGATCAACCCCACTCGGGGATCGAGTGATGGCAAACCCGAGCTGCAGCCCGGAACCTGAGGCATTGTCTTCGGATTCAACAGACTCCCTAGGAGCCCAGCTACGCTTTGTCAGCCAGCGGCTCGACGAAGTGGAGAAGGAGGTTCGCAGGTCAAAGGGAGAGCTCGGGGAGGACGCACACCAAGGGTCTCCGTTCGCGCCCGAGATACAAGATCAGACAGTCCCCCCGAACTTCCGGCTCCCCTCTCTGGACGCATATGACGGCGCCACTGACCTAGCGGACCACGTAGCCGCTTTCCATGCCCAAATTGCGCTGTATGGAACCTCTGACGCCTTGATGTGCAGGGCGTTTCCCACGACTTTGAGGGGGCCAGCCCGCACATGGTACAGCGATCTGAAGACCGGAACGATCACTTCCTTTGATCAGCTCATCAAAGGCTTCGAGCTTAACTTCTTAGCCTATGCCCGGCTAAAGCCGTATGTTGCATTGCTCCTCAGACTCAACCAAAGGGAGGACGAGCCCCTCTCCCATTTTGTGAATCGCTTTACAACACAAATCCGGGGGTTGTCGGACGCTCATCCCTCTCTGTTAGTGCAGGCGTTTATGACAGGCCTACGACCTTCCAGATTCTTCTGGTCCCTCGTGGAGCGACCCCCCACCACAGTACCAGATATGCTCTAGCGAACTAACTAGTACATCGTGGCGGAGGCCTGGGTGGCCGTGAGGAGGAGGAGCGACTTTTGGCAGCGGGCTCCATAGAAGAAGTCGAGCACCCGCGGTGGCTATCTGATGTAGTCCTCATAAAAGGAATCCAGGCCCTGCCTCAGTCTCTTCCGAGCGAAGGCTCAGTATCTACCTGACTGCCTCCCGGCTCGCGATTAGCTCCGGCCTAACCCCCTTCTGTATCTACACGGCTCGGCCGTAGACTACCCGAGTCCACCTCAACGCG